GTATAATTAAAACAAGGTATTGCAGCTGTAATTTATTAATGAATTAATGTATGTATGTGCCCAGTAATATATATTAAAAATGTAAATATTTTCTCTTATTTGCCCTCTTTACACTTTTAAGTTGATATATTTTTCATTGGCAGCCATAATTACGGTAATGAGTATTAATTATGAGAATAATTGGCAGTACATGACACAATTTTTATGATTTTTTTTTTGTGTTAGTTTTTTTTTTTAATACACATTTTTAAAGCATTGCAAAACAGTTGCCGTAAGAACCCTTGAATTATTGAAAATTTATATTTTTTATAAACTCAGCAGCTAAACATTTGTCTGAACTTCTCCTTGTCCTATCAATACTTGCTGTGAGCTCACAGCGTTAAATTAGCTAGAATTCTAAGTGCAGTCTAAACTGAGATAGCTTTTATGAGGAGCTTTATAATACATTAGTTTATTTTTTACGTACAGAAATAAAAATAAGTCATTCGGTACCAAGTCAAGACTAACTTATACTGTGAATGACGCATCAAATCGATGTTTTGAGTGCTCAAAAAGTGACCCGTCTTCGGCAATTGGTTTTTCTGATTTCTTGAAAAACAACTGCTTGTGCATCAATCAGAATTTACTGTGCTGCGTTATTCTAGTGGTTTTTTTTTTGCGAAATGTCCAGTTTTTTCCAAAAAAACAGTCAACCATTTGCTTGCAAGTGCTTCAAGCGCAAACAGCTTTTGCTGTATTTGGCTCAGCTTGAAACACCCTTACAGTCGAGTGCTGTTTACTTTTGAGCTCATACGCGTTAATCCACGATTCATCACTTGTTTCAAAGCACTGCTATCTTCTTTTTTTTAACATTTCTCTCGACCAATCGATACGAGCATTTTTTTAACGCTTGACAACTTGTGTGGGATCCAATGTGAACAAAATTTTTTACAGTGAAATGTTCATGCAGTTGGATTGAATGCATGCTGGTGCCACTAATGCCCATAGTTGTTTCTATCTCACGATAGGCCACATGACGATCTTGCAATATCAGTTTGCATACAGCATCAATAGTTTCCGGAACAACAACTGATTTTGGACAAAGTTTACGAAATTCGTCTTGGAGTGATCTACGAACTCGATTGAATTCACCATACCATCGATAAGCAATGGTTCTTAAGGGAGCTTCATGGCCAAAAGTTTAAATAAGTTGCTGAGTGAATCCATGTCAAAGTTGTAAAATATCATCGCGAAAATGTTCGCGATTTAATTCCATTTATTGGTTGAGTTGAATATTTTTAATTACTGTAAAAACACAAATAGCACTCGTATGTTAAAACGTTAAAATTTAGACATTTTTAGAATTTCCTCCAACCTCTATTCGACGTCGTCATTGCAAAGGATTCAGATCATTTGGTACGTGTATAGCATTGACACTCTTCATATCCAAAACATTAGCCAAACTGTGTTGAGTTGTTCCATCAAAGTGTGAAGATACTCTGCTATCCCTCTGATGCCTCTGATGAGGACGGATTTCAAGTAGTTTCTTTAACATTCTCGATGTTGTCATTAATAAGAGAGGTGGATGGACGACTCGCATTAGGCAAGTTTTCGATGACTTTCCGGCCTTGCCAGAATGCCTTTTGCTACCCACATACTTACATATGTTCATCATAAAGTGGACTTCCCAAAACTCTTTTGGAACATTTTCAATGATTTCGTAGCCGGGAATCTATTTAAAACACAAAACTTCTATTGCCCTAACTGAATCGTGGTACATTTTTAAAAAATTACAAAAAGTTCTAAGTCTAATAACAAATCAGATCAATGTTTTGAGATCTGTCATCCAGGGAGAAATTCACTGTACGCTCAATACTTCTAATATTTACAATGTGCTATTATTTTCTATTTGTTTTTCCTTGTTAGGAGCTTCATTAAAGTCTACTAATATTTAAGGATAGGATAGAATAAGGATTCACAAGAGCGCCATCTACAGAAGAACTAAGCTATAAAATAATAAAAAATTACGAAAATATATAGTATACCAAAAAAATCCATACATTTTTCAAAATGTATACAATTTTACTCAAAACAGAATCTAAAATATCGTTGAACCTTAAATACAAAAATTCCTGCCGAACAGCCTAACGAGCTGAACGATCATCAGCGTGAGCACTTTTCGCGTTTTCATTTCAACGTTCACAAATCGCGTTCGAAACAAACTATTTTAAACCGTTATGTAAATAAATTATTGCATACACAAAGGCACACACATGCATAAATAAACTTTGTAAGCCAAAACTATTTTAAAAAAATGTTGCCACATTTAATAGTGTATTTCGCGCGCTTCGTTTTGTGCTTGTTCGGCACTTTGATATTGTATAACTTTAACACCTTCAATAAATATTTAATTAAACATTATTTCACGTATCAAGCTGTACACCGTTATATTGAATTGCAGGCTTTTAACATGCTGTGAAGTGTTTTTGCACAACGACTTTTTTTTTAAATAAAATTAAATAAAAATATTTGCGGAATTTTTAGGGACACTGTGTGTATGTCGGCTTCCGTTTACAGTGTTTCGTGAAAGCAATTTTATTTATTTATAATATTTACGAGTTATTAAAATAATATATAATATTTATATACTATTTACTTATATAACTTTTCAAGTATAACCAAAAATTTAACTGTTGAAGAGTTTAGTTTAGTGGTAATTTTCTGTAAAGGAATTTAAATTGGCAACCTTTTAGAAAAATATTTTCAACTTTTTTCAGCCAATATTGTAAATGGATACCAATTTGGTAATATTTGTTTTATTAAACCAAAAAATGTTCGTACAATATATAAACATGTGGCAACACTTCAAAACTTTTTTTAATTTTTAATCTATTTAAACCTCTTTAGTTTGCTACTCATTTTAAATTAATTCCTTGATCTTGAGCTTTTCAGCGATTAAATGTTTTATGCAGGTGGCATCGCTTTCTAAAAAATGTTTTAACTTTAAGCTTTCCTAAACCGCTTAAATTGAAAATTTATTCTTTTTTGCTTTTTATTTTATCGGTTCGATTATTTCAAATTTTTAAAGAGGTCACAACTAACTCCTTACGGTGGCATCTCTTTTCAAACATTCTTTTTAAACTTTTTTAACACTGATCACGCTGAACATTTATAATTCGAAATAATATGCCATTAACCATTTTTTATTTGTTGATTACTTTTTTAGGCAGGTGGCATCACTTTTCATAATATATTTTTACTTTAAACTTTCCTAAACCTCTTCAATTTGAAATTCATTCTTTTTTAGTTTTTATGTTATTGATTTTTACTTATTTTTACTCTTCTTTCGCCATTCGGGTAGTGCCCCGAGCATGATCAAATTTTGTGGCCGTTATAATTTTGTAGATTCATTTCCAAAAATTTATCTGTTTATATACGCTTTTTGTGTCACTGTAAGCTTACTTTTATACATATATGCATGTAAATAAACATATCTGATTTATTTACTCAGTTGACAGCACTGGTTTACCGCCAAACCGTAGAGCACATAACTAAAATACCCTGTAAGAAATTAAAAGCTTCGAAAAAGAGCCAATGTAAAATATGCGGTTAAGTAGGGGACTCAATTCACAATTCATTTGTAAAAAAACTTGAAGGGAGAATATGCAAATGGTATATAAGGGCATTGAAGAATAATCTTAATACATAAATGGACATGAATATCATTTCGATGGATAATTATGCTGCTGTAGTATCTATCTATCCGTCTGTATAAACGCGAACTAGTCCCTCAATTTTTGAGATATCGAGCTAAAATTTAGCACATGTTCCGTTTTCACCAAGACGTTGCTCATTTGCTGGATCCAACAATATCGGACAACTTTAGCAAACAGCTGTCATACAAACTAACCAATCAAATTCATTGTATTGTCAATTTTCTTATTTGACAAGGTATCTTCACGAAATTTAGCACAGATTATTATCCAATACATGGCTACAATCTACGAACATATTGTTCAGATCGAATCACTATATAGCAAAAAGCGCTGCAATTTAAACTGACAAATCCAAATCAAGATCTTTTTATACTCTTTTATGCTTTTAAAAATGCGGCTGTGAAGGGTATTATAACTTCGATGGTATTATTTGAAAACTCTAAAAATTTCGTACAGGATCTGTTTATAAATATACATGTATGTTTATATATTTATTTGCATTTAAGTATGCAAATATTTATGCCAGCTATGTAGTGCGACGCTGGCACGTGCATTTGGCTTGTAGTTGCAAATGGATTGTAAACATCAATCCGGCCACGGCTAAATGGAGCACGAACGGGACGAATTTTCGCTTTAAAAATTGTGCTTCTGCCCCTGCAGCAGTCTCAAAGACCGGCTGAATATTGATTTCATAACAAAGTAAATCAATTTGTTGACATGCCTTTTTATTGAATTTTTATCAATATTTTTAGCATTTTTTTTTCAATATAATTTTTTTTATTTATATATTATGACATGCCTCATATCAATATCGGTATTAAACAAATTTACATGGTCGTTAACTGTGGTAAATAACAATATTTTGACATAAAATTTATTTACATATGCATCATTCTTTATTCAGTTAAAAATTGGAAAAATTTAAAAAAAGGGACTAATGATTGAAGAGAAGAACTGTTATTCAGTTGATTTGTTGAAAATATTCTTAAAAGAATTCAGGAAATCTTTAAAGCATTTTGGTCAGCGAAGTAAGATATTCATTCCATAAGGTTAATATTTTCTCCTCTTTCTGTACCTCACTTCGTCGCAGACTTTCATTTCTATATTGAACATTTATGAAACTTTAAAGAAGCTCTAGAGAAGTAATATCGTGAGTGTGCATATGTATTATTAAGCATATATGCACATAAACTCCTCTCGTACTTATATCATCTGTTTTACGATTTTCGTACAATTTTTCACAAATATCACTTTTTTTCATCGTATACTGATTTTTCATGTTTCTTTTTTTTGCTCGCTTTTCAGATGAATTCACGTGACGAACCGGAAAAAACCTTCAAAGTTGCCATGCCTGATAATGCTTACGCCACGGTTTATCTACGTGACGCCATGTCGGTGGAGGAATTTTTGGCTAGCGCCTGTGCTCGTCGCAATCTCAATCCGATGGAGCATTTCGTACGTGTGAAGAAGCGACGTGACATGGAGGATCATAACTACTTTGTGCCACATCGTAATGATTTGATTGAAAATTACGTAAGTAGAAAACAACGTAAAAACTAAATATACTATAATATTTAATGTATAAAGCCATACAAGATTATGGAGGCGAAAATAGTGAGAGAAGTAATAATAATTATTTTGAGGTCGTTGAAGGACATGTTGATGACAAATTTTTGGTAAATGGGAAAAAAGACAAATAGTTCAACTGTCTTGAGTTGAAAGATATTAAAAAATGGCTTAGTAATAAATCTCTCCTCCAAAATGTATACAATAAACGATTACCCGAAAAATAATAGTTCTATGCTTTGTTATAAACTCATAAACTTTTGCAATTTCCCATTATTATGAGCACAATGTATGTATTGTATGATGACTTGTAAAAAAATCAAGTTTTCGGCCCACTTTTAACGGCGTTTCAAAAAATTTTTTTTACAAACTTGAAAGATTTTCAATTCTACACAAAGTTCTGTTATCTACTTCTATTTCTATAAAAAAAAACAGGTTAGCATATACATTTATTGCAACATAATTAATCCAATTTCCTGACACTTTTGTATGCGATCTTGAAATTCTTCCTATCTGCATTATTAAGAACCTTGTCCTTACTTACTTCAATACGATCTTAATTTATCTTAATTTATTGGATGCTGCCCAACACTTCTAAAGACTTACTTATTTCTTGAGAAAAAGCGTTAATGAAGTAATCTAGGTAATTTGATTAGTTTATCAACACAATATACTATTATAACTCCGGTATTCAAAAATACTGCTGCCAAATCTTACTTTATTGACATCCCTACCACAAAATTTCTTGGTCCAAACATGCAATGTTTCAGAGCAGCTCAAACTTAAAATTTTTTTGTTAGACTTCTAGCTTACTGCAGGTGACTGCGACATAAGAAATATCCAGTTCACTTTTGGGTTAAGTGTGCCAAGCTCAGTATTTCAAAAGCATTCATATTGTTACCTCAAAAAGTATGAACAAATCAACAAAACTGGCTGATAAAATAAATGCTGATTTGTGTTCAGTGCTATAAAAGCATGCTTATTTTATGAATTCATTTAAATTTGATGTATCCCGATTTTTCGGGACTATCAATTCGGGATCCCGAAATTTCAGAAACAGTTTTAAATTTTTTTTAATTTCATATTCAATGTGAAATTCGGCAAAAATTTGCGAATTCAAATTTCTCAAGTTGGGTTAAGGGTTCCAATCTCATTCATTTTGTCACTCTTAAAAAATATAAACGCTTCAATAAGACATCAAGTTAAGGCTGATAAACCTGATTTTGGGTCTAATATATTAAAATCATATGTCTATTTTATAAATTCAACTTTTCTGTAAGAATCTCGATTTTTCGTGACTGCGTTTTTAAAATCGGTTAAGATCAGCGTAAATTTTAAGATTTTTCGAATTTCAAAATAATTGTGAAATTAAGCAAAATAATACAAATTCACGGCATATTGAACCCATCAACCTGAGGTCATCGCCAAAATAGTTTGAACGCAGGGAATTCCTTGTATGACAACTCTCCTAGTAAGCATACGGCATAATCACAAAGTAAACATTTGCTAGTATGTTTAAAAAACAACTCTTTGCATCGCTTTCAAGAACAATAACATTGAAGCCAACAACTTCACTTCGAGTACCTACATAATGCCACGAATGAGACAAAAAGTAACCGCACACAAATAAAAACTATTGACCAGAAATAACCATAGAAGCCAAGCCAGTGACGACGACGACGACGACGATGACTTTATCGTCAACATTATCAAGTAACTACTTTTAATGGCAAACAATGGGGCAAACAACTAAAAACAAGAAACAACAAAACCAGAAGGAAGTGGTGGCGGATGTATGTAGTTCTAGCTACTATAAATACAACAAAACTAAGAATCATGTATATGTGTGGCTATGTGTGCCAACATGCATGCAATTCAAACTTTTGTGGTCAACTCTTGCTTTAAATGCATACTTGTCTATTTAATGGTCTCGAGGGTGGCTCAGCATATGTTCATATTTATATAGTCCCATTAATGTACATGTGTATGTGTGTGCCACAATTAAAGTGAGCCACCATCATTGTTGCTGCTGCTAATATTGTCACCAATACGTCCACTCTCACTCACTTGGATGTGGGCGGGGCAAGCGCTCGGTCGCCCACAAGTCAGGTTCAATGTGTTGAAATAATTGAGCGGCGGCGGCGGTGGCGGCGATGTCATGGCAACCAGTTCTTGTCACTGCCGCCGTCACCACTAGTTGACAGTTGCCTATGTGCAATGAGACATGTGAGCAGCAGCAACCCACACACACCCACATGTGCACTCACAGCTACATATATATATAGAGACATATTGTTTTAACCCGTTCCCCCTCCCTCCCTGTGGCATGTGTTCATTCACCCTTTTAACTGCTGACTGCCGCTCGATGCTTGCTGTTTGATGACTGCCAGCTGGCAGCTGCCCTCGGAGCAAAAGTTTGCAATTAACAATTTCATTAAAGCCTTTATGTGAATATGGCATGCCACAATGTCGTCGCCAATGTTGCCAGCTCTGTCGAAAGTCATTGACATTTAAGAGTGGCATGTGACGGCAGTTGAGTTAAAGAAAGATAACAAAAAGCTGGTAAAATGCACACACAAAAAAGTGGAAAATTTTTGCATAAGTACACACCATACATACTTACATGCAAACATTACACATACACATAATATACTTGCTTAACAATTATGTCTATTAAATACAATAAATCGGAAATAAGTGAGCGTAGTACGAAGCATATAATTTCAATACTTTGGAGGGCATGCAGGTATTGGATATACATATGTATGTGTATGTGAAGTATGCATTTACTTATGTGTATGTATAAATATGTATGTGTGTATGTAATGATATTTATATCTTGCTCACAGAGGTCATCGATGCATATGGCTGCCTAATAATTACATCAATGCAATTAAGTGCTGCCGTCGACTTGCACACAAACATATATAGACATTTAAGCATATATATACAATAATTATATACAAACATATATAGACATTTAAGTATACACATACAATACATATAAACTGTATGTAAATTTACAATACCTGCCAGCAATGTTACAAGTCGCCGCCAAAAGTTTTGGAGCGCTTTTGACAATGCATCGTCAAATTCCTGCATGTGGAAAGCGTATGTATGTTCTCGTTCTGGTTCTTTGCTTCGTGAAGAGCGTCATGAAAGGCCAAAAACAATAAACCGGTATGATATTAACGATGCTACTTTTATAACCAAAACATTAAGTAAAATTCAATAATTTTTAGTTGCAAAACGTTCGTCTTCGAAAATTTTAATAATAAGTAAATAGTATAAAAATAAGGTAACCGAACGTTGTATACTAACACAGTTTTTGAGGTCCAAATATTTACCGATATTTTCGGTTCAAAGTCAGCAATACCATCTGATCAAATTTATTCCGTAACTATATTTTCACGTATTTTAATACAAATAACATATTTTATTATCACCTTCAAATTAGGCTCCTAAATCAACACAAGCGTACCAACTCTCAATTAAAGTTTCCATACAACATTTCCTAGTATATTAGACAGTCTCGACGTCATAATCATAAACCCACGTCTCGTCATCATCTCGTCACCCATTGTTAACTGTACCATCTTTGCTGTAAATTTATGGGGTTACATGGGTTTTGCGGCTTCAAAAAAAAAAAAAGTATATTATTTTATTCTATTACTTCTCTATAATATTTTCCTAAATGCCCAACTTGTGCCGAGTAATAGCTTGGGAGATATAGCCTTGAAAAGTTACGCGCTTGAGGTCAGCCGTCACAAAATCGTTGAAAAATATATATCTTTGGCATCGTAAAAAGTTTGAATAAAATATTTCACTATTTTATGAAAAGAAAATTATTAAAATTAATCGAGAAAACCATTTAATGCCTTTTATGCTTTTCTTTATTGCGTAATCGCACTTGTAGTAGTTTTCAACATAAGCGTTATAAGGCAGTGAGCGTGTTCATCATCCATTTTAACACTGGATTTGAAGGTGCTAGCAGTACTTATGCTCAGCGAGTTTGGCTTAGATAGCTTTAATGTTTTGTTAAATTTGTACAAAGAATATAATTAACTTATTGCAGAAAAAAATTTCAAAAGCCAGAAAATTTTAATATTTACAACTTTAATCTGGCTATATAATCGGACTTTTAACAGCGTAAGAGCCACTGGTTCTTTTTAAAAATGATATTCATTAATGATCTAGTCTTTGTTAAATAATTTTTGGATAATATTTGACTACTATGTTTATAGTACATATAGTTTATTTATATTGAAATACCAAGAGTGTTATAAGTGTGAATCGCTCTCTATAGCTATCATATTCATGCCTATATTGACCTTAATTACTTTCATTTCTTTACAAATACATTTTTATATGTACATATCTATATATGTACATTCAATATATATTACTACTCTGATGTATGCACTACGTCAGTGCAGTTTCTGCATTTAATGTTAAATTCTCGCAATTATATGGTTTCGCTCGTGGTCGGTATTTACATTTCCATTTAAATGAAACACCATATAATGCCTATTTTATAATCACACAATTTAAAGCTTATGGAAAGCCTCTACACACACACATAGGTATATAGCGAAGGTACGATTGCATAAAACATATGCCGTTATATACTATACCTGAGTGAGTGCTTATATGATTGTAAATTTGTAAATTCATTGAGGTTTCAGATTTACATAACCTGAAAATTTTGAGCGTAAAATTTGCGGCATGGAATAATTGCGGTTTAAATTGTTTGAAATTTCATTGCAATACATGATATGTAAATTTCAAGGAGTACGGGTACAAAATAAAAGAGATTTTAAATAAAAACTAATACGAACTTACTCAGGTACATAGCTAGCTGGCAGATTTAGTTAAAGCGTTCATATCATTTTCAACTACTAATGTGATTCACAAAGCTTTGATGAAAGAATTTAAAAACAAATCCCTTTACTATTAATTTCTACGAT